TGTCATCTTGTCTAACCTCCCTGCAACGAGCAGGGACAATACCAGTGTTTAGATCCAATGCAGAATGTAGGCCAGTTTTTATTTCAGATAGGTAAGTACATCTGCTTCCCAGGAGATTAGGCTTCAGAATTAAATCAGATTTCTCTTTGAAAACTAAGCAAAAGTCGTGACCTTTGATGAATTTACTGTTTATAGCACATAAGCTGTAATAACTGAAACTTGCCATTGCAACACTGTTGGGCATAGGTTGAAGATGGTATGCTAAAAACTTTGTTCATGCCCTTTGCCTCTTAGTTCTTCAGTCTACCTTTACATGTCTCTTCATAAACCAGGCTGTCTGAGATATTTGCTCTAAAACAATAGCATGGCACTGAAGTTATTAAGTCCTGTTTGTCCAGTTAGGCACATTTTAACTTACAGAATAGTGACTTGTAAATGCATACTGTTCTGTATTTATGTTTTGCCTCTTTAGAATTCATTCATATTCCTTGTGAAACAGCTGGTGAGTTTCTGTAGCCTGTCAAGTAGGTGGGACGATCTGTCTCATACAGTAAGAAGTTTGACCCTTCAGAGCATCAGTCAATTTCAGCTTGATTTCCAGCTTACTTTCTCAGTTACAGTTACTTTTCATTGTAATAATATTCCATTATAATAATATTGCAGACAACTTCCCTTCTTTCTTCCCCCCACCACTGCAATGTTATGTGATGGCTTGAAGCTGTGGATCACACCCATACTGAAGTATGCAAAAGCATATTATATGTTTTCAATATCTTTGAAGCTGTAGGCAGGTTAAAAGGCATGACAACTGAAACATATGGGGACGGCTTTTATCTCAACAGCTTCTTGATATGCAGATCTGTCTGGTATTCATTGAACTAATTAGATTAAACAAAGGCTTTCCTGAGATAATCACTTTGCAAGCCCTTTCCTATATTACAGGGCCCAGTTTTAGTGTGTTGCTGAAGGTCAAATGCTATCAGCTAATGCTCAATATCTGAATGCATACTGTTCAAGCAGATGTATAGATTAAATTGAATGACACAAGATTTATAATTGCTGGAGCTTTGACTCTTGAGATATGAGTGTGCTTAAGTGATTTAATATTAAGAAAATTGTGTTTCCTTGTAGGTTAGTGAAGCAAGTATTAAATGTAAATGTAATCATAGGAAAAGCTTGGATAGGGGTCTAAGGTAGGCGAGGTCCTGTGCATCTGGGCAATAGTAATTGTGCCACCAGAGGAACACTTCAAAAAACATATTGCAGCTTCTAATTTGGTCAGTGCAGAATATTCTGGTAGCACTAAATAGATAAGTAATCTATAGTTTCTTCATGCTTTGGTGAGCATCTTTACATGTAGACTTGTGTTTAGAGCTTTTCCATTCTCCAGTCCAACTACAGAAGCTTATGATGTTGAACTCCCAACACTGGCAAAGTTGTCTAACCTTTGTTTAATAGGTTATGGGTTTGAATTAGTGTCTTTGTCTGGTAACAAAACACAGTCCCTTAGCAATAAATGATGATTTGATTTGGGTAAGGAAGTTATTCTTCATAAGCAGCTACAATGATATGATGTGTCAGTGAAGTTACTACAACCAAAGGGCAGCAAGGTCTTCTCAGAGGTATTGATATAAGTATCTGAATCCTATCTATGAGAGTATGTGCTGCTACTGAAATTTGCCTCTGCAGTTCAAGTTTTTTAGTCATTTTTGTGTGACAGAGAATAGCTTTTAAGTTATTCCTAGTCTCAGTGATATAAAGGGATAAACCAAGTGTTGGTGATAAAGTATTATCCAAAAGTTGATGGATCTAATGAAAGGTAAATGTCTTAATAATCTTGTATGCAGCTTGTTTAAGCTGGACACTAACACAAAACTTCAACTGAATTAAACTTTAAATAGGCTAGAACTTCAGCATTGGTGTATAATAAGTTTGATAACTGTTTCCTGAATTTAAAATTTGAGATATTAACAGATTGGAAGTTTGAGGTGAGTTGCTTTAAACTATAGTGCTTCAGAGCTTATGCTATTAATTTATTTCAAATGACTGATGCAACTGAGAACTGAAACACAGGTCAAAACAAATAAAATATTTAATTAGTTGAGAAGATAAATATTATTAGATGGTCTTTTAGCTTTAAAATGCACTTCTTTTTATGCTACTAAATTTCAGTCGTAATAGTTTCAATATGCATCACCACTAATGTTACAAAAGTGGACTCTTGGAACTTGCTGTAACAGGAACTGATTGAGTGTTGCAAGATTTTACATCAAAACTGCATTAAGGATATTTCTTAAAGAAAGTGTCTTTGCTCATTGCTACAGAAAAATCTGTGTTAGACTAAGTCCATCCTGTACCTGTATGACAAGAAGCTCTTGTGCTCTCTGTTGAAATGTCTGGTAAAAATGGACTACTGAAGCAGATCCTGATGTGATTTTATGTAAAAATTAATAATACTTAATCAAATTTTTATGATCTGGAGCAACACTGCACTTGTTCAATATTCAGAATTTGAAGTCTTCACACTGTTCCTTTCAATTTTCCATAGTTCTTTGCTAACATGGATGTACCAAATAATTTGTGTCACTACTAGAGCTGATCTGTATAACTGCACTGTTTTTGTAGTTAATGAATGCTTATTGAATTTGCCTGTGAACCCTAAGGGACCATTGGTATGTTACGATGGCATTTAGAGCACAGGAGGACTCCCTTCAGTATAAACTTATTAATTACTAATTTGGATTATTGCTTAATAGTAAAAATTGATGTAGATGCATGGAGAGGTTAGAACTGGAGTGCAAAGCACGCTGAGTTGTGACTAAGCAGAGTGACTGCTCTTAAGTTTAGTTGTATATGAAAGCAAGTTTGGCCCCCTCTATTCATATATATGGAGAGAGAAAATCCTAAAACTTTTTGATGACAAGTGAACAGTGACTAGAGCTGTAGCCTTTCCTATACTTTTCTCTTGGATTTAGGTGTATTTGGGCATCAAGTACAGGGCCCCTGCTAGAGGCTTGAACAGAGCTTTGCTTAATTAAAATTAAATCAAGTTTGATGTAATTGGTTGTGGGGCCTTCTGCTTGGTCTATTTTTGCCTAATTAGCAGCTGCAGCATCTTCTCCATAGCTATACAGACTCATTTGCCTGATCTGCTTCTTGTTATACTGTCATAGCTTATGATCAGATGCCAGCTGATAAATCCTCCTAGGCTACCAGCTGGACAACAACATCTAGCTTTTGGGTATTAGATAACAATGTGGCATGTCTTTTAAAGAAAACTCTTTCATACATGGTTTGCATTGAATTCTTCACTTGCAGGATACTCTAACAGAACTCATTAGAGTCTTAATCAAAACTTTATCTTAGCGTGCAGGTTAACACTATCATCATGCATTCTTCAACTGTTGCAACATTTTCTTGCAAGTAACAGAGAAAACAATGAAGATTTAAAATTAATTTTTAAATTAAGAGCTTTTTTTGATGTTATAGAATGTTGGAAGTTTTATACATGTGAATATTGATTGCTTTATGCTTTTTGTCACTCTCTGAAAAACAGCCATAGACAGTGGTTTTCTCAGAATCTCCTGTGACAGGAAGAGAAGAGCAGTTGCAGTTGTAGATGTTGTAGTTCTGCCAGAGATGGGCCTGTCACTTGTGGTTAGGTGGCATCAGTTCAGGGGTTTACAGTGTCAGTGGTTGTTCTCAGGGCAAACAAAGTAGTGTGGCATGGTGCTTTAAATGGTAGATTTAGTATAACTGCAACTGATTATTTCCAGAGCAGAAATCTGAGTCTTTCCTGGAACCAAGACCTTAAATTTCTGGTAATTGGGTGCTTATATCTTCAACATAGACTCAGCAGTTCAGCCAAACAGTCCTCTAAGCTGGCAGGGAAGTAACTAGAAATCTTTTGTTTGCTGATGCTTTGCCTTGATATTTTTGCCTTTGCTAAGCATATTACACCTGAGGGTCTTGTTGACCTGAAAGTGTCCAAGTTATTGTTCATCCGAGCCTGGCAGTCATGTTTTGTGGGGGAATATGTTGTTACACATGCTCATTGCACTTCATTATGCCAATAAAGCTGATTTTCGTGATCAGAAGTCTGGTTTTGGCACACAGCAACTCTTCACACAGGCATGAGGAGTTTGTGTGTGCACTGCACTGTTGTGTAGCTACATGCGTGTGTGCGAGATATGGGGATTAGGAATAGGAATTAGGTATAGAGTCCTGTGGCTAGATGACAATTACTCAGCTACAATACATTGATCATCAGATGGAAGAACTGCTCTCAGTCTGCTCATCCCTTGTGCAGAAAGGTGGTATTGTGCAATTTTTTCCCTCTCTTCAAAGAATTAAATGGAGACCCTCTGCAAGGCTTGAGCTGTGATGAAGTGGGCTAGAGCAGGGCTAAAACTGTATGGATGTGAAAAATTCATTAAGAGCTAGGTCTGCCTGAAGATATAATCCTACTTAGAATACAGAAGTATTTCATGTGTAGGCTAGCTTAGTGTTGAAGTTTTTTCTTGAGGTTTGCACAAATGAATTAATGGGAGCACAAAAAATTTGCTCTTCCCAAACTCTGAGGTGAGGGCGTCATTGGAAAGTGGGAATTTTTGACTTGAGTATGTTCTTTCCCCACGTGACGTCACTTGTGCATGCTACAAGCTCCATTTCCCTGGAAACAGATTTAATTTTAGGTATTTTTAAAGGTTGCTGCTTGATGATGAACCATATGGACATTTGAAGGAAAATGCCAGTGTTAAAGGCAACAGTTGTTACAAAGTTAATGATTTAAGGAAATCCAATAATACAAGGTTGTTTTGGGGTGGGAAACATCCATTTTCCTCCTTGTCACTCTTGCCTCTGGAATGCAAACTGAAAATATCATAGGAAATTAAAGAAGAAATTTGTTCTGTAACCGTAGTAGAGAGAGTAGGGATTGTCTTACAATGCATTTCAGTATAGATGTTATGTAACTGAATGTGTATTTTTTCTCTCCCTAGACTGTACATGCCTTTTGGCTTCGGGGAACAGAACACACCATGGGACAACCTCAAAGACATCTCTCCAGACGGGCTCTCTTGCTTGGGTGATGTGTCTGCTCTCCTGACTGTCTTCATACCCAAAGGATTTATTTTCCTTTTGGAAATATTTTAAGTTGAAATTTTGTTCCTTGCTGGAAACTGTCTACGCTAAAGACTGCATGCATCATGGGTGACATGGCAAACAACTCGGTTGCATATAGCAGCGTAAAAAACGCTGTGAAAGAAGCTAATCATGGAGATTTTGGAGTTACTCTTGCAGAGCTCCGTTCTCTTATGGAACTTCGAGCTGCAGATGCACTGCATAAAATACAGGAATGCTATGGTGATGTACATGGCATCTGTACAAAGTTGAAAACTTCACCAAATGAAGGTAAGTAAATTTTAACACTTATTGAGGAAATTCCATTTATGAAAAGCCTTAGTCAGCAAACTGCTTTTTTAATAGAACAAAATTTGTAAAAGCATTTTAGTGACCATAACAAAATATTGCGTTCTTTTAAGACAGACGTATTCCATGGTAATAAGTAAGCAAGAGTTTTTTTTCAGTTGTTCTAGCTGCATGTGAGATGTTGTATTAATGAAGCTGCACTTGGAACAGAGTTCATTGATGTAGACATCCACATATGAAACAGCAGTGCAACATAGCAGTGTTCAACTGATTGTGAAAGCATCAGTTTTTTTAATAGGTCATATGACCTATAGTTCACAGTTCAGATCATGCTGTTGTAGAGCCCAGGGTTTTAATATTCTAATGCAGGGCTTATTAATGCTTCTGTGTGGCTACCTAGTTCTTGGATTTGCTAATGCAGCAATTTTTAAAACTGATTACATGTTTGTGTTACGTTGGATTCTTAATAGCAGGATCTAGTTTTTAAATCCACAGTATTTCTGTAGATTTCATTTGAGCTATGCAAAATAACTATCAATATAACTTGAAGCATTGACATTTACTCTTAGTGGAAGGTTTGCAAAGTGATTACACAATCTTACTCCCTAGAAATAAGCATCTCTGATGGAGTCTTTGTTTGACTAAGTGGCGTTCTGTAAAATGTGGCTACATCATGCTTTTGCTATCTAGAGTTATTACTCCAAGATAGACTGTACAAATGTGAAGAAATAAGTAAATAAATTTATTAAGTCTCCTTCTCAAGAACCCTGCGGAAGTTCTCCTTAAGACCTGGCTTTTTTTTACTGCTTTCTTCCAATAAAGTACTGTAGTGTCTACATACTGTAGTACTTGCAGTAAACTGTATTTAAAAAAAAAATGTAAAAACATTAACTGAAACTTACTGTGAAGTCCTGCTGTTGAGAGCAATTGAGAATTACCAAAATCAAGATTTTGGCAAATTGTAGTGTCTCTGCTTTTAAGGACTCACACAGATTTTAACCAGTGTGGTGTCATGTCGGTAGCAGCAAAGTACCTGCTGTCTTAATCCTGGAGAGCCGTTGCTTTCTGTTCTTCAGAAATGCTATGGAAAGATTTGTCTTCTTGGACCAAGAACAGCCTACTAATGCCGTAAGGTACCTCTGGGTACATCTGCATTTAGCATGTTTTGGCTTGATCTGCTTTTGAAGCCAGATTTCCAGACTCCTGAAATTATCAGTAGATGAATTGTGTTCCTCTTACCAAACTGAAAGTAGCCAGCTGACATGGCCGAACTACCAGTGAATGGGAGTAGACCAATTTCAGGATGAAGAAGTTTGTAAATCACAAGGAGTACAAACTTCTGTCCCTTGGCCGTTGTACAGTGCATGTGTGTGGAGCACTGTAGTGTATAAGCAGTGTAACACATCTCAGGAGCAATAGGCTCTCGTTGCCCTGTTGACCTGTTGCACAGTATGGAAAGGCAGTTTCCTTTCTCCATGAAAGGGATATAGTTTTCTACAGCTGGGAATTGAACCGAGAGTTGAATTCTGTTGTACAGTGATCTGCAAAGCTAAAGGTCCATTATTAGTGCAAGCTTGGTGGACATACAATTTTACATGACCACAATGCACTCAGCACCAAATACCTTGTATACTGCAGGATTCACGTTGTCTCTTAATGTAACAAACATGCAAATTACTAAACATGTCACGTGTCAGTGTACTAAAACTCAAGGGTTGTATGCCCTTTCCTGCAGATTGCTTGTGCTGTACTGAGGGCTGTGTGATCAAGGCCTTTCACTTTCAAAAGGATTTGACATTTAGATGTACACTAAAATCAATTACATACAGTCACTGACTTAATAAAAGGGCACCATCCTTTTTTAAGTGTGAGACAAGCTCATAAACACACTACAGACTCAACTGTTGAACATGTTAACAGGATCAGAAAAGGTTAATTGAGTTAGAACAGCATCCAACAGAGGTGTCATTTTGACTCTAAACCACATCATGAAATTTTAGAGAATCAGCGTCTCTTCTAGGTAACCTGCTATAAACTTTCTGGAGGTAGTACTGGAGAGCTCTTGTAAAGGTAGAACTAGGTCTCTGCTTTTGTCAAATTCTAACCATAAGTATAGAAGGGAGACAATAATAACAGAGAAAAGTCTAGGGAAGATCTTGCAGAAAACTGTTATGTATTATGCTAATACCAGCTCTCTAAAACCTCGTGTGTATACCTGCAAGGCCCTAGGACACTTTTTCCTAATCACGTTTCCTTTATGACATGACACTCTTACCACTATGTAATTACCAGGGGCTTCACAGGAAAAGTACAGGTAGTTCTGACATGGTGCACAGTGCATGAGTTCAGCTTGTTCCATTTCTTGCTGTGAAGTTGTTGACAATGTAAGACAACATCTATTTTCAGGCAAAATTTGCATCAGACTTATCTGATTTGAAGTGAGAAATGGGAACGGACCTTTAGCAGTATTACTTGAAAAAAGGACACTGAGCAGACTTTACTGCTTACAAGTATGCAAATATGCAAAAAGAATGTTTGACATATCTTTAGTAGCAAAAGTCTGTCTAATATTCTGGACAGATATAGATACTTATAATAAAATTTGAATATGAAGCATTAACTAGTCCCTTGTATAATATTTTCCAAACTTAACCCCAATTAATATAAACTGCCCTAGTTAAGATGCATAATTAAGAATATAATGGCAGTAGTTTTGATCTCAGGACTGTAGATTGTGAATTGTGAAATTGCCAGCTGTCTGGTAAATGTAGCAAGTTCAGAAATGGTGCATGGTGTATTATGGTGTATATGAAAATACAAATGGTTTTTATCTTTGCTAGGCTTATTTACTAATCTTCACTAAGTGGTTCTGATAATAGCTCGACTTTATATAGCCTCATTTGGAAACACTTTTCATTTTCAAAGAGCTTTGTTGGACACTTCTGATGTTGTGTACTGTAGTACCCTGGAAAGGGAGGAAGAGAGTGATGTTGCTATTATGTAAATAAATTTCCAAAGTCTGCCATGTTAAAGGAATAGAGAAGTAGTATCTTTTGCAAAATAGCAATATGGCCCAGCCTTTTGGAATGACCATGCTGTCCTGAGTTTCTGTAGATACTGTAATGTATAGCTTGATTTTTAAAATAGTCTTGCAGTGCTCTTTGAGTTAAGAGTGAAAGTAAGCACCTTAAAGCTTGAACTGCAAGTGTAAGGTTATGGCTAATGAGTACAATTTCTCCTTTCTATTAAACCTTCACAGATGTGCATTCAAGGTGAATTGAAGACTGTTATGATAAATTACATTTATTCTATACACAGAGTATGTTTAATGAATTTATTTTTTGAACAGATCTGCATATAGTTTGCTTTTCAGTTAAGTGATTCCATAGCAGTTGTTAGCATTTAAAATTGAGCTTTGCAGTTCAGTAACTTTTGCAAAGTGTCTCGAAACATGTGATGATTCTCGGAAATGTCTGTTAGATATGTTAAATACTCCCCCTTATTATGAAAGCCAGCAGCAGTGGCTACTGTTCTTATTTACTACCTAGCATGTTTGCAATGCCTTTATAACTAAGCAGTTGGGTTAGCTACTAAACAAATTGCTACTAAGAAAATAATTGTCTTTAAGCTGGTGCTAATCATAACCTTGGGGTCAATATAATTGAAGTACCCAGACCTTTGCTCTGAACATGCCTTGAAGTTTGGCAATTTTGATTTGAAAAATTAGCTTAATTCTGAATGGTGGGTTAGTCAGCTGGAAACTTTTTGGAGTAGCCAGGAGATGTGCTCACAGAAGACCTTGAGTGCATGACCTTGCCCTGAAAATACTTGGCATTCCATTATTTTTAAGATCTTGGTAAGCTCTTAAAACATGCTGTAGTCTTTCATGTAGACCCCTCACTCCTGTCTGCTAGTGTCCCTTAAGGATGGTATCAGAATCAAGACAGAGGAGGACTCAGATATGGCTATATGAAAGAAGATAGGTACAAAACGGAGGTGACAGACATGGCATAGTGCTGAGCATGGGCTCTCTCTGTGTGAGAGGAGATAGAAAGGGAAGCTTCAGAAGAGCAAATAACTAACACCACTCCAGGTGGAAACAGCATCATAAAGTGGTTGCATCTTTCCAACATGATGCCTGAAGAGAGCTTCAACAATTTTTATTAGTTTTTTATATAATAATTAGTCTTGAAATATCATAATGATAATAGTTACATTTTTAATTATAATAAGCATCTCATTATAAATGTTACATTACTTTTAGGATCCTAGGATGTTGTGTCTGAATACAGAATCCCTACACTGGGAGCCAGAGCTGCCTTCACGGGCTGTGGTCTTGCTAAAGCTTTATGGTGCTACTCAGTCTCAGTAGTAGTAACTCTACTAATGATCTTGTCTTGCAAACTTGTTTACTTTGAACGAAGGTATGTGTGTTGTTATTATTACTCTGTTCCTATGTCATATTAAGTGACATATTAAGCAGGTAGACCATCAACTTTATTTTGGCAAGGTGAGAATTGTAAAACGTAGCTGGCTTTCTATAGTGACTCTGATTTAAGGGTATTACTTCCATAATTATGTTTGAGATGTGACTTTTTTGGTTTTGTTACTGAAATATGGAGTGGGACTTGATTCCATGAGTGGGAAACTTCAGTCACTTCTAATGTGAGAGTGAAATGTGTCTGAGTGTCACTAACTTTGTCTTATTGTTTAAATAGGTTTAAGTGGAAATCCAGCAGATATAGAAAGGAGAGAAGCAGTTTTTGGGAAGAACTTTATACCTCCTAAAAAGCCAAAAACATTTCTTCAGTTAGTATGGGAAGCACTACAGGACGTTACACTAATTATATTAGAAATTGCAGCCGTAGTATCCTTGGGCCTTTCTTTTTACCAGCCTCCAGGAGGAAATGAATCATGTAAGTAAACTTCTTCAAAAGTAGGTATCTACTATTATTATACTACTGACTTTCCTGGTTCAACATGGCTATACTGTAAACCTGATGGGAGACAGTAAGTCAGTGGAAAAGCAGCTTATTGTTCCTTATTGAGAGCACATTATTAAAACTCTACCATGCCTTAAAAGGGCAACATGCGATTTCCTTGGTCGTGATCTGGTATTATTCTGACCAAAGGTAAATTGCAAGCAGCAGGAACAGGACTTATTTGAAATCAAGTCTCTGTGCTAGTGGGTTTTTTTTTAGCTTTGCCTCAAATATTTAAGCAATTTATAATTTGCAGTCATGGTCTTTCTTTGGGGAGTCAGCAAGTCTTAAATTTTCCTTTATTTGTGACATGACACTGGTAACTTTATAATTTAAAATGAAGCTATATTTATACTTCTAAACAGAAAATGAAGGGATTGGGACTTCATTTAACTGAATTTTTGCAGTGATACCTGGTTTGTTAAGAAAAATGTAAAGTGGGATATGTTGACAAAGCAGAATGTTGTTTACCAGTCTGACATTCTTATGCCATCATTTAACAAAATAAGGACAGGAAACTCTATATCAACTTCTCTCGTGTTCAGATAAGCAGCATGGTTTAACTTCCTCAAGTTGCTCTAGCTTTCAGGTTCTTTAGCTTCTTTGTGTGTAACCCTTGTGGAAATAAAGGTGAAATTGCAAAGAAAAATAGCATGGAAAATGTTTAGCAGCTATGAGTTTTTTGTTTGCCAAAACTTTCTTTGCTGAAATATCTTTGTGAACTTTCTTAAATCTAAAACCTGTTTTCTGCAGTATGTGGATCAGTAAATGTTGGTGAAGAAGAGGAGGAATCTGAAGCAGGTTGGATTGAAGGAGCAGCAATCCTCCTATCTGTAGTTTGTGTGGTATTAGTAACAGCTTTCAATGACTGGAGTAAAGAGAAACAATTTCGGGGATTGCAGAGCCGTATTGAACAAGAACAGAAATTCACAGTCATCAGAGGTGGCCAAGTCATCCAAATACCAGTAGCTGACATAATTGTTGGAGATATTGCACAAGTGAAATACGGTAAACATATTTTTAAAGTTGAACTTTCTTTTATTTTTAAAAAAGGAACTGCAGTCAACAAACCCAGTGATCTCTCGTAGGTGACCTTTTACCGGCTGATGGTGTACTCATTCAGGGAAATGACCTCAAAATTGATGAAAGCTCGCTGACTGGAGAATCTGATCATGTTAAGAAATCTCTGGACAGAGATCCTATGCTGCTGTCAGGTGTGTAACATTTGACAATTTTGTAATAAAGTAGTTTGTTTCAGCAGTAAGGTGGTTATTAAAAATTTTGTGGTTGAAACTAGCAAATTGGTTCTTTATCTAGGTTATCTCCTAGAACTATCCCAAACCAGTCAAAAGAGTACAGAACTTTGTTGGAGTGATCAGTCTTGTAAAATTGACAAATGTTTTGTGTAGTTGCTTATGGGTTTGCTTTCCAGATAGCTTTGGCAGCTAAAGCTTTAGGGGAGCAGAGTGGTACATATACACAGCTCAGAGTTTTATCAAAGTCAGGTTTAAAAGCTTATTTCTCCAAAGTACTTGTATGCCCTGCCATATAACTGCTCACATCTCAATGGAAATCCTGATTCAATCTTTCAGGTACACATGTGATGGAAGGCTCTGGAAGAATGGTGGTTACTGCTGTAGGTGTGAACTCTCAGACTGGAATCATCTTTACCTTACTTGGGGCTGGAGGAGATGAAGAGGAGAAGGAGAAGGAAAAAGAAAAGAAGGAAAAGAAAAGTAGGCATATTAATCTTAAATACCTTGGTTGGGGGTGTTGGAGGGGGGATGGTGGTGAACTTTTGAATATTACTGGATAAAAGCATGTTCCAGTTATCCTAAGCCAGAAAGCTTTTTTAAAAACTCATACCTTCTGTAGGTTTCACAGGAAAAACAACTTAGGTCCAGTGACCTGAGAGTGCACCACGACTACTAACTCTCGTCACGTGGAATTTAGTTAAACTTCAGATCCCACCGATCAGTCAGAGTTCGGAAAGTTTGCAATTGCTAACCAGCTGTACATACTATGTATAAATGGTTAAACTCTCATCTTGTGTTACATTGATGTCTAATAGCAAATACTTGTTTATGGAAAACAAATTATTATGAAGTTCAACCTAATAAGTATCTAGTGATACTTATAAGTGATCTTTTTATCAGAGGGATACCAGACAATAATGGAACATTCACACGGAAATGTGTTTAAGATTCTCAGGGACTTTCAAACTCAACAGGCAATTGCTAAAATGTGTGCTCTGTGCAGGAATTGAGATTGAAGTTTTTTTGTCATGTCCTAACCCACAATTCTGACCCTTCTTGAAACTTGAAAAAAACTAGAGAGTTTCTTTAAAAGTTAGAAAAATTGTTACAAGAAGCATTGAAAGTTCTAAGTTAGTTTCAAGCTCAAGTTTGACAGTGAAAAGAAAAAGCTGACCTGCAGCACTTGCAGTCATTAGTGTGAAAGTTGCCATCCTGTGCCTTCCCCTTACAGAGGAAGGAGAAGGAAACAAATAACAGTACCAGCTGCTACAGGAGATACGGAGTGGATTATAGCTTTTATTAATATTCTGCCAGTGTTTATTATTCTAGAAGCAGAAGTGTCTTTGACAAGTAGTGTTTTGGTGTATCCTAGGACCCAAACACTACTGGGGTTTTTTTGTCTCCCAAGATAGATAGGTTCCTCTTTCCCTTGAGTTAGGTGCCTAATAAGATTCTCCTTGATAAAACTCAGGTTAAACTAAATTAACTTCTCCGTGAATGTTAAGGAGATTAAAGGGACTATATTTAGCTGGCTGTGTATGGCACGATTCAGAGTGAAAGCAAATGTATGTAGAAGGAGTTACAAGTAACTCAAATGTAGAATTTTGCTCTTGAAAGAGGAAGAGGGGAACTGGGGAGAACAAATACAAAATCAGGAAATGATGATGAGTTCTTAAGAAGTCTGAGGTGGCATCTGGACAGAGTGAACATACTTTTTTTTTTTTTTTTTCTGTTCAGCTGTTGTGAGAACACTGGGGGAAATCCTACGTATAGAAATCAGACTGTGTCTACAGTAATGGTGTAGTGGAGATATTAAATGTCATGCCAGACAGGCTGCTTAAAGGTTGGGGGGGGCTTTGGGCAGGGGGAAAATATTTTTTTTTTTTTTTTTTTTTTTTTTTTTCTTCTGTTCAGCTGTTGTGAGAACACTAGGGGAAATCCTACGTATAGAAATCAGACTGTGTCTACAGTAATGGTGTAGTGGAGATATTAAATGTCATGCCAGACAGGCTGCTTGATAACTTGATTTTCTTCTACTTGAGTACTCTTGAAAATTTCGGTCTACATAACCTAAGGCCAGAGACTTGGTGAATTACCAGTAATACTGAAAATGTTTGGGTTTTGTTCTAAGTTGCTCAATTTTGTGCTTTCATTTCAGTTATCACAAACAGTAATTATAACCCTTGCTTTCTCTACTTAGAAATAAAGTTGGTCACTTTCTAAGCCCCCAAAAACAGCGCATGATGTGTTAGTCTTCCAACCTTTAATATTTCAGTTGTTCAATTCTTTCATTATTTCACTGTCCTTTATGATCTCTTGTTGAGCCCCATTTCTGAACACAGGTAGGAGTGATATTTTATTATGCACTTGAGCTATTCTCACTATGATGTATGGTATATTGCTTACAGGTTTGTGCAAATAGTAATCCAGTAATCCAGTGCTGTGCCTCCACTAAGCTTTGCTAAGGATTTATGAATATTTTATACCACAGTAGCTTCTGCAATGTTGTACAAAAGCACTGATTCTCAAAGTGAGACCTTGCAGTTTAGTTACAGAGGTAGTCAGGTACTGGTGGCAAGTATTGGAAGATTACAGCAAAATAGAGGCTTCCAAAATCACTGAATTGTCACAAATATCTTTCCTAGAAAAGTGTGTCAGGAAGTCTTTTGTAAAGCTTTCTTCACAAGCCATGTCAGTATCAGTAATTTGTGCAACCATGCTCAGCCATGGTAGATTAACACTGCAGCAGTCTTGTATGGGAAAAGTAAAGTCCAAAGAGTGTCATGAGCAGTTTCTGTGAGCTGACTTAAATGTTTTTCTTTTTATTTTTTTAATGCAGTTTCCTGTTTTAGCAGAGTAATGTAGTTATTATATAAAAACATAAATAAAATAATGAATTCTGCACAGCCAGCTTAAACACAACTTGTTTCCCTCTCTGACAGGTAAAAAGCAAGATGGAGCTGTTGAAAACCGTAACAAAGGTAAATGCAGGTTCTCTGATTCTTTCTTACAAGTCTCTTTTCTAAGAGTATAGACAAATACAGACTTCCCTATAAAAATGCATATTGAATGCTTATATCCAAAGTGCTTATGGTAAAGATGGCATAAGTGAATCTGCCCAAAACAAATGCTTCACTGAACCCGATATTCTATCACCAATACACAATACACTTATTTAAACATTCATGTGAAGTGTGGCCTCTCTGGATACAAGATCATTCTCTGTGCTATTATATTTAGTGGAGCTGTGTATTAAGCTTTTTAGATATCTTTGATTTGGAAGACTCACCAATGATTAAACTTTTTTTGATCTTAACTTCTAGCTAAAGCTCAGGATGGAGCAGCCATGGAAATGCAACCACTGAAGAGTGAGGATGGTGGAGATGGAGATGAGAAAGACAAGAAGAAAGCAAATTTGCCAAAGAAGGAAAAGTCAGTTCTCCAAGGCAAACTCACAAAGCTCGCAGTTCAGATTGGCAAAGCAGGTACAATGTCTCAGTACTCTCCTCATGATGATGTCATGTTAAAAAAAGTTGGAACATGCATAGTTTGGGAGGAGATAAAATAATCAAACCACTCAAGGCTGGCTCCTTAAGTGCAAAATTGTAATGCATGTAAGTATGCTGCTGTGCCTGAGTATGCTGATGGCCTCTCAGGCTCTGTCATGTGGATGGCTTTTATTTTTCCCTAATTTAAAGAGAGTCAGGCTTTCAAGTGCCAGCTTCTAGGAGGGAAAATTCCAACTTCATAACATTGGACAACTGTTATGAAAGATCTTTTTAGGTTAGATAGAGCATTTAGCAATGTACCAAGAGAACTCTAAGTTGAGTGAAGCCTGGAAAATGTGGTACAGTCAACGAGGTTGTGTCTAGTACTTTCAGAGGCTTAGAATTTTGCATTTAACATATGCCTTGCTGATACATAACATGTTTATTGACTTCCTACTTTTCTGCAGCTAATATTTAGCTGCCTTGTCAAAATATTTGGTAGATTGTTGCTGCTTGAAAGGCTAAAACAACAGTGAAGTTCAGTATAAAATGTAGGCTATATTATCTGGTGTATAGTGGTTTAATCAAAATATTTCAGGATTTATTTTGGTCCATGTAGAATTGTTGAAAGGTTTGGGCTGGAAGGAATTTCAAGAAGGCTTGTAGCCCAGCCCACAGCTCAAGAAGGGCTGACTTTAGCATTTGTATCATTACACAGTTACAGTCTGAAATGGAGAATGAAACTTTTAGCTGTAACACTTTGCAGTTGTGTATGGTGGTATTAATTTTTCAGTGAGATTAACAAATTCCATTATATGTCTACTGTAAACTACTGTCCTGGTCAAAGATTTTTTTTTTTCATCTCTTCCAAGAGGTTGTTTTCCTTTATGTACCTTTTGACCTATTGTAGTTCCCCACACAGCCTTAATACTCATCTACTTCATGCATGGATTTTCCTGTCCTCCTGCTTTGAGACCACACTGAAGCACTCTACTGAATCAGTCAGCATAAAATTGGTGAAGGCCTCCTGAATTTTCTCACTTCTTGTTCTGCTTAGTCAATTGACTTTACATATTGGTCTGTCCTGTTACTAATTAGCTCCATGCTTTTCAATTAAATTGGAGAAAAAAAGATTTCTAGGCACTTCCAGGTGAAATGCATGGTGAAATACTTGCATTGGAAACTGGAACACCTCTGAGATCTGCCTCCGTGTTTTGACTTGCCTCTTTGAAACCTTAGTCCTAATCTAGCTTGTATAAGGGCAGAAGTATTTGCATGTATCTACAGTCTGTGTTGCCAAATATTTGAGATAATTTCTTAAAACTGTTTATTCTCTTTTTAACAAGGTTTGTTGATGTCTGCAATCACAGTCATTATCCTTGTGTTATATTTTGTAATTGATACCTTCTGGGTTCAGAAGAGACCTTGGCTTGCTGAATGTACCCCAATTTATATTCAGTATTTTGTGAAGTTCTTCATTATTGGAGTTACTGTCTTGGTGGTGGCAGTACCAGAAGGTCTTCCACTTGCAGTCACTATTTCTCTGGCTTACTCTGTTAAGGTAAGTAGGTAGAGGGCAAGTAGATTTTTTTTTTTAAGGTAGGTGGGCATATTCATCAACTGTTAAATACAGAGTTATGCTGCATTACAGATATATATATATGTATATATGTTAGACTGGGAAGAAGCTTTCCTTGTTTTCTGAACTGCATAAGAATTCTGCTGCAGTACTTTTCTTCATCTTTGAATGAATACACACTGACCAGAACAGTGAGCATTGCCAGCCTGTTGTCACTAGCTAAAGATGAATGGGTTCAGTATGTACCATTGTAACATTTGCTTACAATAAACAGATGTTTTAGAATTTGTAAATAACAAACTTTTCTGTAAATCTGAACTTCTACCTAGCTGATGTGTTAAACAATTGCTATGAAAGCTTCTAGATGGATTTTTTTTTTAAGACTGAATAGTGTAAAGCATTTTGTTTTGTGCTTACTATGCAGCATGTTTTTTAACTTAAGCTCTTTGTGTTCTTAATTTTCTTACTGCATCCACATGCTGAGAATGATTATTTGTCTAAAATCTAATTGTAAATGTGATGAGTGCTTAGGCTGTGTTCTCAATTCATAGCTTACAGCACTTACTAGTAGTGACCTTATTATATAATTTGAAATTTGTCTTCTGCTTAGAGATGAAAACACTAAAAACCTGTTAAGGAAAGAATTTTAAACTATATTTAATCTATGTAATTCATGTAACCCTCACTATTTTAGTTGAAACATTAGGTTCCCACTTTGATTATAAGTCTGAGTCTAGGTTCCTTGAAATCTGTATTATCTGATTTCTGACAGATCAAATAAGCTGCATTAGACTTGTAAGCAGAAACACTTTTTAATATTACATTACATTTACCACATTGTATCTGGTAAAGCTCTAAACCTTGCCTCTTCTCATTTTTTAAATATTGTTATAAACTCTTTTCTCCTAACAGTCTGAATAGTATCAATAGTCAGTGTGACATGCAGGTACAGGAGATTGACATGTATTATATAGCTTGTTCAAAATGAAGTTTACTGTGACATAATAGACTTAGAGAAATCTATACAGAAAGTGACAGCTGCAAGTTCTTCCTCTGAAATATGCCAGATGAATGAATGACTGTGTTTTCTGAAAGTGCTGTGTAAGACTCGATCCCATAAATGAGAATTTCTGAAGTGAAGTAATGGTCATGGATTGCTGTTAACTGCTTTTATTTCCTTAGAAAATGATGAAAGATAATAACTTGGTGAGACATCTGGATGCATGTGAAACTATGGGCAATGCCACAGCTATTTGCTCAGATAAAACGGGAACATTGACTATGAACAGAATGACCGTGGTCCAAGCCTACATCAATGAAAAACATTATAAAAAAATTCCAGAACCAGAAGCTATTCCAGAGAAAACTATGGCTTATCTTGTGACAGGAATTTCTGTTAATTGTGCTTATACTTCCAAAATACTGGTAAGTAGATTTCTTCATTCCAATCAAGATAACTGAGTAACTTCCTTAAAAGATGCAAATTGTCTGATGGCCACAGGCAGTTTCAGTGTAAATGGTATTTCATACCTGCTATAAATTGCTCAACCATTCACTTGAAACTCAATTGGAAAAAAATAGCTTATTTCAGTTAGAACCGATAATTCAAAGACAAAATCTCAAGATAATTTCCTTTCAAGTTCAAAGCTGGTTTTTTGTATAAGTGGGGCTGTTTACGACACTTGAAGGGTGTCTCGCCTGGATTTGAGCACTACTTAAAAATAAGCATTAAACAGTTTAAATTTAAGAGTAGTACATTAAATAATATATAATGGAAAAATTTAACTACAGGTAAGGATTTTAATGGATTTTTATTCCAGATACTGCTGTATAAGTTTGTAAGCTTTAGAATTGTAACATATTTGCCAAAATCTTGTTTGAAACTTGCAAAATGTTTTGAAATGAAAGACTAATGAACTGTTACACATTTTACATAGTGGATTATTTAACATTTTGTGTTTAGTATTTTCTAAAACTCTAAAAATACCTTCCTTGCTGTAGTTATTCCAACGTGTTGTATAACTTCTATTCTTCAGGCAGTAAAAATAATAAGTAGGATTTAGTAAATTAATTAGCATTTCAAGATTTTGAAGAAGCCCCCACTATGGATACTTTGTACACAAATAGCAGTGAAAACTCATTCAGAAGCTACTTATCAGCCAATAAAAATGGTATGTCTGCAAGAATTTCCACAACAGCAGTACATAAAGTTTGACAGCTGATTTCTCTGAAACAAGATGGGAATTCTAGAATGACTTACAGCACGTGAGGAATTTCACAGTCTGTTTTCTAAAGCTCTTTCTATACCAAGAACAAGGTAGCTATATGTAAGCTGACCAAGTCCTTTATTGCTACCATTTTAACTGAATTATGTCCACTGCAGTAGAGTTACGCTGCTTTACAGAATCAGAGAGGGCTGAAAGGGACCTCTTGAGAGAACCTCCAATCAATCTACTCCTCCTGGTCAAAGCAGAGTCAACCAGAGCTCGTAGCTCAGGGCACTATGTAAGCTGACCAAGTCCTTTATTGCTACCATTTTAATTTTAATTATTGCTACCGTAATTCCATTTAAGTGTAATTATGTCCACTGCAGTAGAGTTATGCTGCTTTACAGAATCAGAGAGGGCTGAAAGGGACCTCTTGAGAGAACCTCCAATCAATCTACTCCTCCTGGTCAAAGCAGAGTCAGCCAGAGCTCGTAGCTCAGGGCACTCACTCAGGATCTCTTTAAGGATCTCAAAGGATGGAGACTTTGCAACCTTTTGGACAGCCTGATCAAGTATTTTATGACCCATAGAGTAAAAGGTGTTTCCTTATCTTAAAATGGAGTTTCAAAATCTTCACTTTGTATCCATTGCCTCTTGTCCTTTCACTGGGCACCACTAGGAAGGTCTGGCTAGACAGACCTTGCCATTGTTCCAACAACGTGCCTTACTCAGGCATTCAGTACACACCAAAATGTTTCTCTCCCAGAGTGTTGTCTTCTCCTGACTGAATAGTCCCAGCCCTTCCAGCTCATCCTCATATGTCAGGTGCTTGAGTCTCTGTATTATTTTTGTGTGCCATGGATGCACTTACTCACTGATATCTCTCATACTGGGCACCCAGGACTGGATGTCTTAAACTGCACATTAAAGTGAATGATTTCAAAGTGTGAGTATTCAGTACAGCCAAATTCAAAATCTTGCAGCTGTGAACAATGAAAATGGACCACTGATTTATGTTTAATGTAGTTCAGCTCTAGTCACCTGAGATATGTCAGATGAAGAAAGTGCTTTTCCATATTTTGCTGCAAAAAATACTGTAGTGTTATGAGTATACAAACTCAAATATTTTGAAAGAAATACTTCTTTGTTTATAGGACTAGTATGTGCATATCCCACATTGTTGAGATAAGAAACTTTTTTCTGGTATTAAAGGATTGGAAACTTGTTTCTGAACTCTTTCAAGTTAAATAGGCCATGGCCTGGAAAACAGAACTTGTAGTGAGACTTAAGAGGCTTAAGGACTTAGTTTGTTCAGAAGAAGGCTAACAGGTGATGTGGTCATAGTCTAAGTCATTGAAGAATTATTACAGGAGAGGATACTTTAATTTAGCAGAAATAATGCCATTTAGCTTGCTGAAGTCAGTACATGTGAACTTATCTGTACTTTTAAAATCCGAAACATTTGTTCATGGTCTACACTCAATTGATCAGATAAATATTTAAAGTAATGGAAAATGTCTTTTAGAAAGGTCATGTTGGGATTTATACAAACTTAATGGGTGGTTTCTGAAGGATTGAAAGATCCTAAATAGGTACAGAAGTTACTTTTAAAAAGCAGCAATATGACTTTGGATTATGACTCATAGGAATTTATGAAGTAATTACTGAAAAAGAAAACCTCCCCATCCCAGAACTAAGTTTGTCCTTCCTTGTGTTCTAAGTGCTGTGCTTCAGTGGTTTATAAGTTAACCTAATCAGTGATGGCTCTTGTTCTTCTTGCAGCCTCCTGAAAAGGAAGGTGGCCTACCGCGTCATGTTGGAAATAAAACTGAATGTGCCTTGCTGGGATTGCTCTTGGATTTAAAACGTGATTATCAGGATGTAAGAAATGAGATACCAGAAGAGGATTTGTACAAAGTGTACACCTTCAACTCTGTTAGAAAATCGATGAGTACTGTGTTGAAAAACTCTGATGGCAGTTTCCGGATATTCAGTAAAGGTGCCTCTGAGATAGTTCTTAAAAAGTAAGAACAACTACTACTGTGATTCAGCACTTGACTTTTGCTAAATGTTGTGATAGGTGGAGAGACTGACATGCTAAACAACATGGTGACATAGTCTGTGGAATGCTTGTCTCTCTAATCACAGGTAGTTCTATACCCTTGTGACTGCAGCTTCACAGCTTGTCTCTTTCAGTTGTTGGACTTTCTACAGTAAGATGGGCCATTAGCACTTTAGTTACTTTACTTCAAACACCCCAGCCCTATCCCTCAAAACAAAAGAAAAAAGAAAGAGATGGTCTCATGCTTTAGTTAAATTCTTTTACTTTTAGGTATGGTTGATCAAAATGCTCACCTATCTTACAGAAAAGTCCCATCAGTTGATATGCCTAAATTCCAGGAAGGGCTTGTACCTTTGAAAAGTGATTACTTTTAGCATGTTACTGCTTAGACTGTAACTTTCTGTTGAAGTTGTTCATTTTTACAGGAGGTTGAACTTGAAAGTTCGATCAGCTTGAGGGGTTTTAATGTGACAAAGCAATTGCTTCCTTATCCATCTGCCCATCTAGAAAGGATTTATTAGGATGAGATTAGACTTAGTGAGCGATTAGGTACCACTGGGACAAACCTTTATAGGTGTGAAGTCAGCTGTGGTAACTCCTAACTAGGTGAGGAGAGACTCAAACATGTATGCATCTTGTTCTCTAGGAGCAGCAGTTGGTAGGCAGACCTGTTTTGGTGCTGATGTCAAACTGTTTCTAGTTTGAGTAGCACACAGATTATATTCATCAGTTAAATGTACTTTTTTGTTTGTTAATAGCTCCCCAAATTGTTACCTAGGAAGGTACTAATGTATTAAAGAAAAAATATGAGTTCTTCCTTCTCCTCAGCTTTTGTGCTGAGAACAAAATGTCAGTCTTTAAAGGACTCTTGTTCTTAATATGAAACTAAAATCTTTTTTTGCGTAGCTACATTTTAAGCCAAACTTATCAATGAATAGATGTGCCTTTTATTCACATTATTTCCATCTTCTGAGATATTTTGTAACTCATAATACTGGACAGCTGAACTGTAGAAGTTGCTAGAACTCGGTCATCCCAGACTCATGTAGTCCACTTGACTTAGTAATTGAAATAACAAAATAGATGATAAGGACATTTGACAAAGAAGAAGAAAACCTAGACTGACTTGGATATTATAGGAAGTGTCCAAATAGGAAGCTACTTCAGAGTATGCACTGAATAGGACAAAGATTTAGCCATGATAATCTGCTTCCTATGCAGTACCTGTAATCTGGTTTGTCAGGTGTGCTGCTACTTCCCTATTATACCATATATAACTACACTTACACTAAAACTTAAACATGAAGATTTATTACATGAAGACACAAATGAGTCACTAGCAATGCAGAAACATTTGCAGGTAGAGCATTTTCTTTTTTCTTTCCGTATCACTAGGTCATCTTTGAAGTGAGTTCCAGTGTGGTTTTGAATAGAATTTATTTATGTGTATTTAGTAATTTTGGAATGTTTAAATTTGTCACCAGCCTTACGACTGCAGCTAACATTAGATATCCTTAATGATTGCTGACATTTTAACAGATAAGTAAAAAATTCACATAAACTTCAAATTTCAGTTATTATATGAATGTCCCTGTAAGGGACTGCTTCATTTTAATTTTTCATATGAGGTGAAAACTTCTAGGGAATTCCCTAAATCCTTGGACTATACACTTAACTGTAACACTTGTCATCTTTGCAGGTCTGCAAGGTCTGAATTTGATATTTAATGGAAGTATTGAATTATATTTTTTTTCTGGTGCTGTAGTAGTACTAATTTGTAAAACTAATGGATAATAATGTTACTTTATGGGAAAACTTTGTAAAGAGCACATGAGCAAGATTTAATTTCTTGTTCAAAATCATTGGTAGTGTGGTATTCATGGTATCAATATTACTAAAGGATATATGCTCTCTCTCTGTGAAAGCAGGGGCATCTTTGGCATGAAGAAACAATTAGGAGAGCACGTATTGAAATGCTAGTGTGCAGAGTGATGAATCTAGTCTCCTATACAAACATTTTAATCAGTTTCCATATTTGGTTTTCATTTTAGATTTCACATTGCCTCACATACCAGATGCTCTCTGAATTCTCTGCATTTAAATTGGGAGGGGAGGGAAGGGGAAGGGCTGTGAACTTTTTTGTTCTTAAGGGTAGCAGTACCTAAGTTTGCTTATAGTGCTTTAGGTTTAGTGCTTGCAGCTGTTCAAGCAGCTCATGTGTGTTCTGAAAGTGTGCTTACTTCTGGAACTGTATTGCTGGTAACAAGGTGAGCTGAGCTTGAAACTGGATTGTCTGACTCAACCAGTGCAGACACCAGTCTGTTTACATACAATGGAGAAATGGATACCTCTGGGAGGTAACTGATGTTTGTATGTGAAATTGGTCGGGCATTACTTTCATCTCAGGATGACTGGCTCAGTTTAACTTTCTACAGAAAGTATGTTTTGCAACGGAAGAAAGTGCATTTGGAGAAGATTACCTTAGAGATACCCCTACTGGATTATTGTGCCTGTGTGTTTGGGTCTAGCAAAAACACAGCTTATAGAAACTTATTGGAGTTGACTGATAAGCTAAAGAGTCAAACTTCTGGTTAAAATTTGGTAACTCTTTAAACCTTTCTTTCCAGGTGCTTCAAAATACTGAGTGCTAATGGAGAACCAAAGGTATTTAGACCTAGGGACCGCGATGATATCGTGAAAACTGTAATTGAGCCAATGGCTTCTGAAGGTCTCAGAACCATCTGCCTGGCATTCAGAGACTTCCCAGCAGGGGAGCCTGAGCCAGAGTGGGACAATGAAAATGATATCGTTACTGGGCTGACATGCATCGCTGTTGTTGGGATTGAAGATCCTGTGAGACCTGAGGTAGGGTCACCAGCTAAGCTGCAGTGATTCTGTTACGTGGGATTCGTGCTTTTCATCATGCAGAGTACAAGGAACTGAACTGCTATTGTATGCCTTAAGCATAGTTAATAAATGAAAATCTAATTTCTTGAAGGGAAAGTTAATGGAGCTATAAAAGCAGATTAAAACTACTTAATGTCACTTATGCTGTGTTGCTGAAGCTCTGTACAAACTAATAACTTAAGGTACTTACTGTGCGGGATCTCAGTAAATGAAACAATTTGTTATTATTTTACCACTTGGGGTAGCAGGACTTTTGATTTGGATAAGATTAGCCATTGAGCTTGTTACCAGCTTCTCATGGGAAATGATGGAGAGAGCTGAGCTTGTCACCTGAGAACTGAGGGCAAGAAGTATGGCTTGTGGTTAAGGTGTAAGGTTTTTCAGTAGTGAAAGCTTTTATGCCACATGCATGTGTGAAATTGGGGCTGCTCTATTGTCACTTCACAATAAAAGTTATTGTTGAAGTAATGGGGTATAAGCTGTAGTTTATTTCACATAATTATAAATAAAATGCGAGTACTCAGTACAGCTTAATATGTTATGAGGATTTTTGTGGTATTTTGAATACTGCAGTACTTGAAAAATTGCAGGAGAGAGGGGAACAGACAAAGCAGTGGCACAAGCCTCTTGCCAGAATTGTAATTTGTGTGGTTTTTACAAGAACTGTGGTATGCTACTTAATTTTTTTTTAATGTTTCATAACTACAGTCTTCATTTTAAAATAACAATTATCCTGTACTAGGAGCCATAAACATTCCTTTCACTCACGTGTCTAGATTTATTTAACTAATGTACAGTCTCTGAGCCTGTGGGGTTTTTTTTCTTGCTTTCAGGTACCTGATGCAATAAAAAAGTGTCAACGTGCAGGCATAACTGTACGTATGGTCACTGGTGATAACATTAACACTGCTCGTGCTATTGCATTGAAATGTGGAATTCTGAATCCCGGTGAAGACTTCCTGTGTTTAGAGGGCAAAGACTTTAACAGGAGAATACGCAATGAAAAAGGAGAGGTAAGCATGCTGACTCTCTCATTAAGTAGATCAACATGTACTCTAAGTCTCCTACATGTGTAAAATATGACCAATGCTCTTCCTGCAGATTGAGCAAGAGCGAATAGATAAAATTTGGCCAAAGCTTCGTGTTCTTGCAAGATCTTCTCCCACTGACAAACACACTCTAGTAAAAGGTAGGTAAAAATACTCTGAGCTTCTAAGTAAAGCTAGATTTTTTTTTCCCCCCTGTGCTTCTAGGGAAAAAAAATAGGACTTGAACAATGGGAAATGTCTGTGAAGTTGTTTCCAACTGGTTTTTTTCTTTTCTGCTTGAGAGATTGAGTGAATGAAAGGGTTCTTTTTGGTGACTGTTCTTTTTGTTAGTTTGGGGTTTTCTTTGGTTTTTTTGTTTGTTTTTAACTGATAGAGAAACCCAGTTTTTGTCTTTTTCAGGCTAAGTCTTTTCTGTGTTGTTAATTTAGAACTGTAACTCTTGTACACTTGTATGTCATTTCATTTTAGGTATAATTGACAGCACTGTCTTTGACCAGAGGCAAGTTGTAGCAGTAACTGGTGATGGTACCAATGATGGTCCAGCTTTGAAGAAGGCAGATGTTGGATTTGCTATGGTAGGATTTTTTTTTTTTTAACATCCTCAGTATTTTATCAATGACTTATCAAATCACTTCAGATTAAAGATCCTTGTTTCATGAACAGGGAGACCATAATGAAAGAGACTGCCAGTGAATGTTCAGAATGGCTTAGGAGGCCATACCTTGTACATCTGAAGTACAGTTGAAGCCAACAGCGTTTTATGATAGTGTAGGATCTGCACTTGTTGGGATTATTTGTTAGATTACATGGCTTTCTCAGCTACCCTTTCACGTGGCTGCCAAACAGTCTTGGCTTTTAAGTGCTTATACTGCATAGACTCATGCTTTGAGTATGTGGGCTTCAGCATTCTTTCAAGACACAGAGTAAGACAGATTCCTCAAGCTTCCTTTTGCCACGGGATTCCTCCTCAGTCTTAAATGTAAGAGATACACTTTGGTCACGACAGCTCACTGTAGTCTTAAAGCAGTTAAAAGGAACGAATGAAGACCACACTCTCCTATCCATATGCAGAAAAGGAAACACTGACTCAGATTCTACTCCTGAGAGAAAAGATGGGAAAGAGATTTCATATCATTCTCAAGGAGCTTTTTTCAAAAACATAACTTAAAATTAGACAGCTACATATGAAATGTTCTCTAGACTGTAACAGTCTTGTTGTAACAAGTATCTTTGTATAGCTGCTGTAGTTGCCACTGTCAGGGGCAGATTTGTTTGTCTGTTTTGAATGTTTCCTGCAGTTGCTGTCTGTGTTCATCTATGTAAGGAAATATCTTCTCTAACTGTTTACCTAAATAGCACTTAAAATATACCATATGATATCTAAAGGTACCTTTTAAGGTGTACACATAGCTGTGCAGGTGACTAATTTCCTTGACAAAATAATATATCAAGAATAGGGATCATTAAATGTGCTATTGAGTTAGTGGATTTGGAATGCCAAAAGAAAAATTAAAATTTTTTGAAGCAGTTGTCTTCAGGCATCATTACACAGAACACAGCTGTTTGGGTGCTGTAGGAGACTAGAGGTGCTTAAATTTTAAGAATGTCATGTTGCTTTGCAATGCATATGCAATGACATTGCATAGTCTACTGTTCAATGCTAATGCCTTTCTGCAAAAGGTTTTTGGTAGTGTTTATCATCCTACTGTGTTGCAAGCACATTGCCTGCTGCTGGAATCCATACAACAAAATAATTAGGGCAGAGCTTCAACTGTAGCACTGCACCATCTGGTGGCCTTCAGCTTGAACAGGGTTCAGTAACATTTCTTTGTGGGAGAACTTAATGTGTCTTTACTGTCAACTCTCAAATTTATATTAAGGTCCAAATTTATATTAAGGTCTTTATTTTAAAGAGATCATTACTTTGTTTTCATTTTCCCAAGACTTTCAAGTAGAACTTGTTTCAATAGGCTTTATATGCTCACATTAAAGGAGTCCTTCAGATGTTGTGCATCCGAATGAATGCTGACCAAGGACATAAGAGCTTTTGTCATAAAAAGTCAGTGCATCCTGTTATATTTCATAATGTCTTTCTTTTTCTCTCAGGGTATTGCTGGAACAGACGTAGCTAAAGAAGCTTCTGATATTATCCTTACAGACGACAACTTCACCAGTATTGTTAAAGCAGTTATGTGGGGACGAAATGTCTATGACAGCATCTCCAAATTTCTTCAGTTCCAGCTTACTGTCAATGTAGTAGCAGTAATTGTTGCTTTTACAGGAGCATGCATAACACAAGTACGTACCAGTGGGGAATTGTTTCAGCTAATAAAGGTTGAAAGAGTCATGATTGATTAATTCTCGAGTTCAAACTTTCACTTAAACAGTAGTCCAAAGATCATAATGCTCTTCAGAACATGTCGGTATTGTATGATAGATGCCTTTAACAGCTGTAAGTTCTGCACTTTTATTGGAGTGTTTGTGTATCTATTTTTGTAGGATTCTCCACTTAAAGCTGTGCAGATGCTGTGGGTAAATCTCATAATGGACACATTAGCTTCTCTTGCCCTGGCAACAGAACCACCCACTGAAGCTCTTCTGCTGCGGAAGCCTTATGGTAGAAACAAACCTTTGATTTCTCGTACAATGATGAAGAACATTTTGGGTCATGCATTCTACCAGCTTGTAGTGGTCTTCACGCTCCTGTTTGCTGGTAAGAATACTGAGGCTTTACAAAGTTATTCTGAATGTTGTAGAGAGGTGTTTTTTAATTTTTTTTTTTTTTTGCTGTAGTGTGTGTGTAAAGACACTAATCAAGCTGTTCATAAATGTCTTTTATATACAGGTGAGAAAATTTTTGATATAGATAGTGGAAGAAATGCACCTCTGCATGCTCCTCCTTCAGAGCATTATACTATAGTATTTAATACATTTGTGATGATGCAGCTTTTTAATGAAATCAATGCTCGAAAGATTCATGGTGAAAGAAATGTTTTTGAAGGAATCTTTAACAACGCTATCTTCTGTTCTATTGTGCTGGGGACATTTGTTGTGCAGGTAAGCAGATTCTTGGAGGGTGGGGGGGAAAATGCATTTAGTGCACTGATGTACTTGCTGACCTAGCCAGTCAGCTAGTGCCAGAGATCTAATTTCTGCAATGTGGAAAACCTCCAGGGTCAAGCATACAATAAGTAAGTTGTAACTGCAGCTTGATGGAGTTTTCAAACCTCTTTGAAGTTGGCAATGCTGGAACGTTGTATTTGTATGAAAGTATTTGTAGTTACCTTTTGAATTTTCAACTTCTTGAATTTTATCTTAGTATTCTAATTTCTTTGCAAAATATGAAGTTATATGTGTCATCTGTTCATTCACCCCTTGCCCCTAAATCTTTCTTATAATAGGTATACCTGTATATCTGAATGAGAGTCCATTTAAACAATTATAGAAAAAGAATGACTTTTTATTTTCTTAATGAGATTAGGACATGAATAAGCTTTAGAAATTTAAGTACCAGTTTCTACCTTGCTGGTGCAGGAACCATTGATACCTACCTACTGGTATATATTATAGAGGTGCTGTTTTAAGTGAAAAAACCTGATGTCTAGGGTCCTTCTGTTCCAGCACATAGGGGAACTCATAAAAGCTAGTTAGTTAACTCAGTGCATGTTAACAAAGGAAATGATCTTCAGTTGATCGGGTTCATATGCTGGTGTTGAGAAACACTAATTTAAAACTGAATCTACAGAAAATAGTTTACAAGAACTATTTTCACCCTCTAAATAGCCTTCACTTTAATTAGTCAGAAGAAATAACAAACAAATCAGTGTACTATTTAATTTCAGAACCCATTTTCATTTTGGATTAAGTTATTTGGGATATATAACCTACATATTAAACTTCTCCTTAGGCTTGATAATTCATTAAGTTGATGGAAGTTATACCAGTTCAAGCATTGGAAATGTATACACTGCTGCTTCACATTAAGTCAGGGAACTTACTCTCTTACGTTTAGATTTTTATAGATGACACTCCTTCAGAAACTGCTCTTATTTTTGGGGTTATGAATGCAGCAGATTGACTGTTGTTGTGCAACCAAGCCAAACATTTAGAAATTACTCCTGACTGCCACTGTGTTTGTTCCCTTTATAAATTTGGCAGACTGAATGCCTTCCCGATTCCTGATTTATTATATCAGTGTTTTATTCAGAGTTAATAGCAGAAGATACTCCTTGGTTTTTCAGCTGTCAGGTGTCCTACTTAATGGTCAATACTGTCTCCTTTTCATTCCTGCCCTGCTGTTTTGAATTGTTGATTCTCCAGGGCAGACTTTCATGAATATAATTCCTATGCAGAGGGATACCTTGCTCATTAGGGCCCATACAGCTTGTTGTAATAGTTAAGGCAGTAAGAGCTCATTTATATTAGCTTTTGAGATCTCTACCCTCTTCCCCCAAGATTTATTACATGTGGTGATTTTTAGTCTGATATTTAACACTGATGGGATACATAGTAATATCCTGTAGAATTACTTCTGAGTTATTTAATGTCTTATGGATCTATGAATTCTATTAATACATGTTTATGAATCTTGGACATAGTTCCAAGATGGGTGTTCATAGCAAAAGTAATCACTGTATATTTGTAGCATCAAATACGTGCTGTGATTGTGAAATGAAGGGAAAAAAACTTCAAGCAAAATTGAGGAGTCAGCAAGTTTTCACGAGTGTGACATTTGAAGAATGAATGGGTAGTTCTTGAAATGCTGAAAAGTGGAAGAATATGGCATAGGTTTGGAAACTTGCTCAAACTGCTGAGACAGTGAAAGGAAGATGGGAAATCCCATGTTCTCTTGCAGAGCAGTCTGTTGTGATCTTGAAGCATTAGGGAATTTTCTAGTAACAGGTCACTGATACATGTTTAATTGTGCTTTTCTCCACAGATAATTATTGTGCAGTTTGGTGGAAAGCCTTTCAGTTGTTCAGAACTCTCAGTTGAACAGTGGCTGTGGTCCATTTTCCTGGGCATGGGCACACTACTTTGGGGCCAGGTAAATTAGGATTTTTCAAAATGCCAAATATCTACTTCCAACAGTATATTTTAAATGGAAAACCCCAACACACTGTCTTTAGCATTCAGATCTTTCAAGTGGACTATATGAATGTATGAAGACTAACAGTAAATATTAATCAAAATGGACTTCTTCAATAGATATAGAAAGTCTTACGTTTGAATATTCCTTCCTCAGAGTGGGTCAATTATTAACATTTCATAACTAGATCCTGTGGCTGGTTTGTTTAGCAATTTTTAACTAAAAGCAGCTGTAGTTACCTTTTAAATTTGAAATTATATCTTCAGCCAGATGTGAGTACTAGAAAATGTGGTAAGAATACAAGATGCAATGAACATGATAATGTTAAAATACATTTAACTTGGTGCTTACAGGTTTTCTTGAAAAATCAGAATTGCTAAATTTGACAATATTTTCTTGATGTAAAAGCCTCCTAGGGTAGCAAGAAATGTAACAAAACTCAAACCAACTTTCTTTTTAATCTTTGTTTAGTCTTCCCACCTAGTAAGCCGTTACGCTTGTACTTTTATTTCCTTTCCCCTCCCCCCAGAGTGTCATTACTATTGCATGCACAACAGTGCTTGTAAGCAGCAAGCTTATTTACGTGAAACTTTAGAGCTACAGAGTTTTCTATTATTTAATGACATAGTTGTCTAAACTTTTCATACCACATGAAGAGTTTTCCATTACAGTTTCTTTCCTTCCACTAAGTAAAAGACACTTCATGTTTCACCATAAAATTGGTAGGATGAGTTTTAGTTGTAAATACATGCATACGCATGTGTTCTAAAAGTGACTAAGCTTTTTAACAAGGTTCTCTGGAAAATTAATTATTTAAAAAAATCAAATAGAATCACTCTGAGGTGACTCCTAGAAGAGAATCGAGATGGCTTGAAATACCTTTGACCCAAAGTATCTTGCAAGGGCAAAGCTTCCCTACTGCCATTCATGCTGCTCTAGCATCTCATTAAAGTCAAAAAGCTTTAATTTTCTGAGAATAATAGAAACTGAAGTGTGAGCTGGGAGCATTCACAGTAGCAGTTTCAGTATAAAGGGCTGTTTATCTTGCTTCTGGAGCAGACTGTTTTTCCTCTGCAGCTGCAGAAATGATCTTCTAGGTTTGTGATGATCAAGGAAAGCAGTCTTGGAATTTATCTGAATTGATCTGAATGTGCTAGATATAATGTACCAAAAGATGAGTTCCCTTAACCACATATCTTTTGTTTAAGATATATAAATTGCTATACACCAAGTGACAAAGTAACAGCCTGAGATACATAAAATTTCAGAAACATCACTTGCCTTGGAAATGGATTGATATCTCCCAGGTCACAAAGGAACGAATGGCTCTTCTGTATTTCTGAATTAACTGTGGTTACTTTAGGTGATGGAGGTCCCACTTGAGGTGACGCGCCATGCTCATCAAACTGATGAAACTGTAAAAGCTCTAGATACAAGTACAATCTACAGGATTAATGGCTTTTGTAGCTTCAGTACTGCTCTTCCTGGCATTGTAAAGTAATGTTAATGTGGAATTCTTTGTCCTGGCAAGGCTGTTTTGTAGTCCAAGTTTAATTTCGCACTTTGGTTGAGGTAGTAAGTATATTCACAGCGTTGCAGCTATTCAGCTTGGGTGATCAGTTTCACACTGATGCACTCATCAGTGTCTACGTAATTTAGTTTTTTCAACTTTGCTAATTGTATGCCGGATATCTGTCAAGCCTGAAGAGTGGTATTACTCTTTTTTTTGTTGTTAAATAAAGAATAATCCTGATTTATGTATTTCATCCATTGTTAGTTGATTTCAACAATTCCAACCAGCCGACTGAAATTCCTTAAAGAAGCTGGTCATGGAACACAAAAGGAAGAGATTCCTGAAGAAGAACTAGCAGAAGATGTAGAGGAGATTGATCATGCTGAGAGGGAATTGCGTCGTGGTCAGATCTTGTGGTTTAGAGGCTTAAACAGGATACAAACTCAGGTATGGTCTTGAAAAAGGTAGGATGCAATGGGTGTTATGAGGGAAATGTCTCCATTTTTGACTAAGGTGGCTGTTCTAACTGGTCTGACTGAGACTGTCAAAAGGGGGTATGGATGGATGTGTAATCCCTCAGGGTCCTCTGTTTTCTTCAGCTTTAAATGCAACTCTTGCCTTTTTATCTGCTCTGTTTTTAAAAAGTGCCTTTTTTTCTTTACTTTTTGTGTGTTATAGATGGGATGGTCCTTTCTCTTGTTCTCTCTCTCTCTTGCTGAGCAAGCTGTCACAATCTCTGATTCCTTGCAGATGGATGTAGTGAATGCTTTCCAGAGTGGAAGTACCATTCAGGGGGCTCTAAGGCGGCAACCCTCCATCGCCAGCCAGCACCATGATGTAACAAATATTTCTACCCCTACACATGTAGTGTTTTCCTCTACTACTGCTTCTACTACTGTGGGGTGTGAGTGTGTGTTCCTAAAGTGCATGAAATTAACATTTCCTAATTCACGTACCTAACGTTTCTCATTTTCTCCTTAGTACTTAAAATCACCGTTCAGGCTTTTATAGAGCTCTTCCACAAAGTGGAGTCCTCAAGACTTTTTTTTCTTAGAGGGCTGAGAACAGGTGGAACAGTTTCAACAAAAGACTTTATTGCGAAAGCTGTGAGCCTGCACATCCTGTGCCTTCATCCATTCGTGTACAGAGGGATTTTTAAGATAAAGAGGGAAAACTGTTGTAAATTTTCGAGTATATGCCTCTTAGGGTGACTTATATTGAATAAGTGAATTAACTGTATAATCATGGACCCAGGTCAACAAAAATAGATCTCCTGCACTGTAGCACAAGCAATACTTAAGTAAGCAAGCTGATTTGTAAGCAAACGGTATGTTGAAGATATCAATGTAGTTAGAACGTGGAGCACTAAATGCATTTTCTTTATACCCTGTAAGGAACTTTATAAAACTCTGCTTTCATTGGACCTTATTTACTGAATAACAACTTTTTCAACATCAGGATTTAGGTGGCGAAACAAGGCTTCTAAAATGCATACAATTCAGAAGAAATACAAATTAGCTGATACAAAAAGGAAAAAAAAAATTAAGCATTAAATGGCAAAACTTTCATTCAAATCTGAAGGGTTCTTTTTCCTCTCTAGGTTCTTCTGGGAGCAGTTCATAAGCCATCAGTGACAGCAAAGTTTGTCTCACCTCAATTCTACCATCTCTATCTTGTGCTCTAAGTGGCATTTCAGTTTCAGCCTTCCTCTCTGTAGAGGCAGGAGATTTATTTACTCTTGGATGTAGGCCTAAACTGTGGAGCCAGAAGATGCATAGTAGTAGTAGTTGAATGCTGATAGCCAATATCTTTGTTCAGAGTTTTCTATCTTAATACATGTTTAACTTTCTTCTCTAACTTCCTAGAGACAGGTTAAACAATTGGTTTTTTAAAATAACTCTGAGAGGGCTTCTTCTCCCCGTTCCCCTCCCTGCTTAAACTTTCAGATTGCCAGATGGATGAAGACCCTTAATTTCAGGAGCTGTTTCAAGCGAAATGGTGAAATCTTCAGACTTTTTTTTTTAAAGTTATTTTTTTATTATTTTTGGGCTTGGCCAGAATTCATGTGTGAGCTTACACAAGTATTTACCTCCGTATTTGTTCTTCAGTGCTGAGACAGGTATTTCCCTACCTTGCAGTAGTACTGAGAGGCTCGGCTCACAAATTTGCATGCCTCAAGAACACAAAATGAAAAGTAGATTTAACACTTAAGGATGCACAGGATTGCATCTCCTAGTTAAAATGCTAATTAGTAACCTGTATCCCTAACTACACTCCAGAACATTAATTAGACATTCAGAATCCTCTAGAGAGCAATGTCATTCCATGCTGCTATTTGAGCAGAATCTACTGGGCACTGCAGCATCTCATTGCATCAAATGACCAATGCAGATACAGAGCTACCATAGCAGAGAACTAGGTTTTTTATTCTCACTATTACAGCCTTCTGCTACATCCTCCAGAAGAGCAGCTTTTTGAGAACTAATACAGATTAATGGGAAGCAGATGTGTTATTGTCTCTTTTTTGGAGCTGCTTGTTGGAAAATAGTTCCTATAAAGTAAGGTTGCAACTCTTAAGCAGCCATCTGGATAGGAGGATTTGGAGTGCCAACTGCATTCCTTGCTATTCTGGTACTAATATGAGGAAGGCCTGATGACAGTATGAATTACACTTAACAAATTGTCCTGTTTGCACTTCACTTACATGATTTATTTATAGTTATCCCTCTAGTTTAATTATCTTGAGTGGTTGAAAATAGAGCCTTCAAAACACTAGATTTTCCCTTTTTAAAGTGCTGAAAGTTTGATTTCTGCCTTTGTGGCTGGACTCTTGAGCATCCTGGCCTTGCTGTAGTGTCTAGTCCACTTGTGTAGTATGCATCCTGCATGGGAACCAAGCCTTTATTGTGGGTATGCACTTATTCTGTCATAATTACAGCTGTCCTCTTAAGCCAGAATTGTTTTTCATTGCTGCTGATGTTCCAAATTCTCATCTGTAAGCAATGAACAAACAGTCCCATGAGACATTCATATTTCATTTGCCGCATAAATGGCATAGTGGGATGCGACATGCCATATAGAGTCATTGCAAGCTTTCAGTCTGGTATTGTCACTGCTAATTTTCTTGGTAAGTGCCAATCCAGTTTAGGCAGCTGGCTGGACTTATTTAAACCTTGTATAATGTGTGCTTGACAGTGTGCTCAATTCTTTTCATGCAATGAACAGTAAAGTAGTAGCTGCTGTTGTAATCTTTTCTCCAGACATTGACTCTCTTTTCTGTCCTCCCCTTACTGGTAATTATATCCTCCCCCTTGATCGTTGCCCCGTCCCTGTTTCCCCTTATTCCCTGTGCCTTCTTCCCTTGCCTCCGTGGTTAATTTGGCTCAGCATGTACCTGTAGTATAAAAATGGGGACATGATCACTTTGCAGTAAAATTCTTCATGCAAGTGGTCTGAGGGTGCAGAGGTGGGGAAATGATGCTACTTCTAGAACACAATTGAGACATGAGACTTTATCATGTGCAGTGGTTTTATTTAACCAATTTGATTTAACACATTGCTTTTGGGGAGCCCTTCTCTGTTTACAGTGAACTTCCCTGGTGTATCTTAGCTGTTTTGAAATCTCTGCTCTTGATCTGCTTGACCTCCCAGCTTAATTCCTTCACCTGGAAGTCACTTTATTTTTTCTGTTGAGGAACTCTGGAAGCACTAGTCATGATGTATTTCTCAGCTTGAAGCAAGTCATCTTGGATGCGCTAAAAAAAGCTTTAAATTTGACTTGCTGTTTGTAACAGCAAGTTCTTGTTTACTACGGAGTTGCTCTGCTGCTTAGTATTTAACACTATTTCACACTGCTTTGCTGGAGACTTGCTCAGGGTAGGGATGTTGAGAATTGAATAAGGAGTCAACAGGAGGGGAAAACTGTCTCTGGAAGAGTGTTGGATAAATGAGTGAATGACTTCTGCCTCACCTTACTTGTTTTATCAGTTCAAGAATGGATCCTCAATTTCTCTGGTTGATCCGGGAAACACAAGGCATGGGAGAAGGGGGTGTGGGCAGCTGGTTTCATCCTTCAAATAATAGTTAGGAAAGCTTAAATTCAAGTCAGCCTGGACATGCACAATTTGCAAAATAAAGCTGTACTTTGTTTTTTATCTGTTTTAACTATGAAAGGTTTATTTATGAATTCTGTTAGCTTAGCTTTCTGATTAAAAAAATACTAAACAGCAAAAAGACACGAAACAGTCCTCAGCCTGGGAACTGTGTCCATGAATTCAGTGTGAATCGAAGACTCGCGCAAAGGCCGATCATCCTGCTTTTCTCATACTTGGCGCTACTTAAGTAGTGTCTTCAAAGTTACAGCCTGTCCTGGCTACTGTACTGTACAATACCGTATTCAATTTCCTAGTTCTGGTCTTAAGTTTCCAAAGCACTGTTCACTAAGGAGCTTTCTCTAGAGTGGAAAATGGCTATATACTCGAATATTTACAGCTGTTACAGCGGTATCCTTTTTTTGCATGACTTCGTAAATGTTCGTTCATTGTGACATTGGCTTACACTTGCTTGGCTTTTTCATAGTCAGTTGACATCCTAATTCCTAGCATGAGAATTAGTGACCCTTTTATCCCCTAATTTATTTCAGCCTCTCCCCTCCTTCCCTCCCTCCAATCTCACCAAATATTCAATAAAACACTCATTGAGATTTATTTAATTTTTGAATAAGTAAATATTTGTTGGCCTCACTTCTGAAAAATGCTTAGCCCATGTTAAATAAGTAAACAACTGTAGTGCCATGTCTGAATTTTAGGGCCCTTCAGCTTTTTGCAGTACTTTCACAATTTCTATTCCTACTGTGTAGACTGGCAGTGCTCTACTGAAATGCTCTTCATTTTTTACAGTTTATTGCAAGCTCCACTGCATCATACAAATTTGATTCACTCATGTCTAGCTGTTTGTGGATTCAAACTCATAAGAACCATGCCATTATCAGTAAATATGCAGCAATTTAACAATACTTTCTCTTCGTTTACAGATCCGAGTGGTGAATGCATTTCGTAGCTCCTTGTACGAGGGGCTAGAGAAACCTGAGACACGAAGTTCAATTCACAATTTTATGACGCATCCTGAGTTTAGAATAGAAGACTCCGAGCCTCATATTCCCCTTATTGATGATACTGATGCTGAAGATGATGCTCCAACAAAACGCAACTCTAGTCCCCCTCCCTCTCCCAATAGAAATAACAATGCGGTTGACAGTGGAATTCACCTTACAACAGACAAGAACAAGTCTGCTACCTCTTCATCCCCAGGGAGCCCACTACATAGTTTGGAAACATCACTCTGATTGTAAGCTGAATGTTAACACACTAGCTGCATTGTAAAGAAATTGAAACTGGGTCTCTTCACACATTATGATGGACAAGATGATATTCTTGTCTTGGACTTCAACAGAAGAAACACTTGTACGAATGTAGATTTATTTTTTTAAAAAAAAGCTTTCTGCCAGACTGGAGGGTGCTTTTCTGGGGGTGGGAGTAATAATGAACTCTGACAGATAAACAGTAACTCAGCATAAGTGACCTGTGGATCATCTGTTGTACTAAGAATGGTCCTGAAGAGTGTGTTAGCAGAGCTTTAGTTTATCATGATCCTTTTCTGAGGGGAAAGCTGGGAAGGGCAAGGAGGCCCTGGATCATTGAATTGATACTTTAATTTCTGCTGTTGGCTGTTAATAATTTGGATTATTTATGTTTATAAATGATACAGATCTGTTTACAAGGTTTGTAGATACTTTTTTGTTCCTGTTCATAGATGGGAAGCTTCCTTATAAATGATGCAGAGGAGACAAAAAACAAAACAAAAAAACCAAAAAAACTAGTCCTTCAAATACTGCTGTATTTTCAGGAAAAGGGTGTTTCTATTGAAACTGTACTAAATTTTGCCTGCAATTTACCTTGTTAAATATTGTAGATAAATTGCTACTACTAATAGCCAAATAGATAACACTAATGCTTTGTAAAAACATGAGCAGTGGTGTTCTAATGAAGTTATGGCCTCTGTCCTAATTAGTTTCTTAAATACATTTACTACTTAATGGTTTTGAAACAACTGTTTAATTTTTAAAAATTTTGAGAAACTTAATGAATAACTTTTGTTCAGAACTTAGTAGGATTGTTTAATGCAGGACATCAATACATGATGGAACTTGCTTGAAATATTTCTGTTATCTCGGGCAAAATGGATTAAATCAAAATACATCAGAATCTTAGTCCTTTGTTTTTGTCTAATCATGTTAGTTTAGTGCTGTCTTGGTGAACTGTGAGTGGAACTGTGATTTTTTTCTAATCTATAGAATCCTTCATGCAGCATGAGGGCTGTTGGCATTTTGAAAGGTTGTTAGTGGGTAGCATACATGTTCTCCTTTTTGTTTTTGAAACTTGTTTGTAAACATGAATAAATCTGCCCTTTTGTTAAAATAAAATTGCAGCAATGGTTTCTTACAGAATTTTTTTTCTCAGCTCCTTCACTGGAAATACAGAAGGTACTCTTTTGTGTTACTGGTTATCTTTAAACTACAATTTCAAGATGGTAACAGCCCCACTCCAAATAGCACTAAGTAAATGGAATATCATGATGGCTGCCTCCAGAATGAATGTAAGTTAAGGTACTCAAAAGTCTTCACTGATCCAAAAGGATACTCCTGGGGAATTAATAGGTCTGCCTGAAATTCTGAGACTTACTGTGAGTACCGTGTAATAAATGTATCTCTGACTGCTTAAGTGAGGGAGACTGAGAACTGACATAAAGCACAGGTGAAATGCACCAGAACTGATCAACTACAGATTGACTGAAGAAGTTATGGTCTGCCTCTGCTGTATTGTTCAGACAGCGAAGAATGATGAAACAGTACTTGCTGTTCTGGCACTTCCTCATGTTTTCTTGGTCCAATACTACTTAAAACAGCCACAGAAGACATGAGTTGTAAGATTTTCTTTTTCCAGCTTTGTATTCTTAAAAATAGCAAATGAATTTTTTTGTCAAATAATCCAGAATTATGGACATTTTTTAAAGTGGTCCCTTCAAAGGACTGCAAGAATTAAGTTGGTAATGAGGAAGGAAATTATAGTGGAGCTAACTGCAGAAATGAGCAGATTGGGAAGCTCAAGCACATCTTTCCCTTGTGGTGGGGTGCATGCATGCTTGGGATTGTCCTTTAGTGGATATTGTTCAACCTGTGGCACTGTATCCCACTGTCAACCACTCCTGAATTCCATCTTTTCTATTGTACTTCAGTAAATACACTGAATTCTGGGCAAGGGGGTCAAGGGTGGGGGGTTGCACTTGACACTTTGTATAGTGATTTCTCCCACACGTTTCTAGCACTTTTCTTACATCATAGTTCTTATCTAGAGTGCTTGGTAGGGGGGTCAGGTTTTATGTAAGCTATTTTCTCTTTGCTACAAAAGTCAGATAAGCACTGGCTTAAAATAAAGGGAGTTTTCTTTATCTGTGAAGTACACTGCCATGTGGAAAAGTATCTTCATTTAATTTTGTTAATGAGTAATGATTTAACTTCATTTCAAAACAAACTTTAATTTTCCCCTCTTCTCTAGGTGTGATCATGACTGCATGTTAATCTTTTTTGGAATAAAATCTACACTTAAACCTTTTGTGGGGGGTGGGATGGTGAACATAGGCTTTGTACATCGCTGGTCCCTCTTGATTCTGTTAACATCCGTGTGCTGTTCTTGCAGGAAACATCCTTACAGAAATAAGGAAAAGTTGTTTAAGAGGGGGGTATGCTTTCTTTGTGATCTCAAGAAATCATAACATTGCCTAGATTATGAAATGGTTTTCACTAAGCTCATGAGGCCTTCATTGCCTTTCTGGTTGTAAGGTTTACTTGTCTTTCTTCTTGTAACTGAAATAAATAAAAGTGCTGTTCATCTCAGTCTGTATGGGGACTGAAATTCTTGAATGTCAGTACAGTACTGATTTAAACCTGAAATGCATGCCAGTTTTATGCTCATTTGCTTTGAAGAGGTTATGGTATATAGTGTGATATATATACATGCTTGAGCAATAGTGACTTGGAACAAAAACTCAGTTCTAGACTGAGCGGCTTGAAATGTGGTTTGGAGTGGCTTAAAATGTGGTTTCCTGGGTGGGATGTCTGCTATAGCTGTGTACATGTTAGGACACCTCAACTTGGCTCTGAAGGAGGGCTGAAAACAGTAATTAATATAAGAGGAAAATGCTGCATCATGGAGTAGTCTGAAGAGAATAATGGAAACAAATGCCTTAATGCTAAATAAGTGGGTAAATGCAGGGGTCTATAGCAAGTACAAGCAGCCAAAAATATGAAATAACATACTTGAAAGCTTTCTTAGAATAACAGCAAAATTTCCAATGTGTTTTGAAGTAAGCAAGCAAATGTAATATTCATGGGAGTATAACTTGTGGATACAGAGTATTGGAAAGTGATTCCAAAGGCCTGATAAGTTCAATTTCTACTGCTAGTAGTTCTAGCCTCTGCAGAGCTCTAGAATAATCCAGATCATAATAAGCAGTACATAGATTAAAGTAGAATATCTTAATGTCTGTACTACTTTTCTGATGCAAATACTTGGTTTTCAAGGGTTGCTCCTTTTTTCCACCTCCACCCTCCCAGCAGTGCATTTCTTCTGATCTTACAGATTTCAAGCCCTCACTGAAGTACCTTAACTTTGTTCATTGAGCCTGGCCAGCATGAAGGGTCCAGCTCCAATTTATGTCCAGACTTATTAAGCCTGCTTATTCAGGACCATGTAATGAGAAATTCTGGGCCAGAATAAAGAGTCTTATAGCTGTTTCTGCCAATCTTTTTCCCTGAACTTTATCCAGAAATACCTAGCAGCCACCTTTCTCAGGAGGTTGCAGCATCCATCAAGGAGATGTGACTTAGATTCTTAAACAGAAGCCTTCTACAGGTACTGCTTGTCCTTTGTGCTCAAATATGAGAGTTTGCTAAGAAAATGATGGGATGGGCTTAGACAACTGAGAAAAGACAGCATGTAAAAGGTAGCACACTGCATAGTGACCCTTTACTACTGTTATGTACACCTAATGTAGAGTTTTTTTACAAAATCTATACAATTAGCAGTTTGAAAACGTTCCTTGGCTTGCCCCAAATAGAAGACTGTGGGAATTTAAATTTGGAAGAATAACTAACAGGAGTATTTCTGGGAATTAACAGCTTTTGGTGGAAGTGTAGATTCTGGAATACTGGAATATCAGCTCACATTCTGGAGTAATGACAAGTGTCAATCCAAACCTGAAGCAGCAGTTGCTTACTGAAATGGAAGTTTGCATTCTGGATCCCTTTGAGCCCTTGCACATGTAGCAGTATCTAACTATTCTGAGCATCTCCATTGGCTGTCCTAGGCTGCCTCTCTTGCAGGGCATGAAGCTGAATTATGCTGAAAGACTGTAAGTATGACCATACAGAAAACTTTTCTGTGTCTTCCTCCTTGGCAAAGGCACAGTCTTGGATTCACTCTATGGCAACTGCTCAGGCACAGAACGAATACTGGCTTTTCCTGTTTTAAAGCTCTGTCTCTTGTAGAGAGTTACGGTGTATGGTTCAAATGCTTTGTGTGAAAAACCTCCCAAAGCTTTTGATTTAAGATACAATAAAAACCACAAAGCCACTCTACAAATAAACCCTAGAAGATATGTTTGTTATCTTTGACAATTTCAGTATTAGAAATACAGGATTTAACTTGGCTTTCTCAGTTTTCCACAAGTTGGTTGCTCTGATAGCTGCTAGGTACAAAATCTCTTCAGTTATGACCTAAGGTTGTTGCAAGATCTGAAGGTAAGCCTGTGTTTGGCAGATATTTGTGGGGAAATACATAGCTTATTTTGAATACTGTGCTGGCAGCTACTGCATAGTTTTTTGGGGGTTTTTTGTGGTATTTTAGGAGAGAATGCAAAATGAACAATTTACAAAATTCAGATCCATGCAATAGGACCTGTAAAAGGATACATGAGTCTGGCACAGAATGCTTGAAATAGGAGATTCTTCCAACTGATATTTTGGTAGAAACCAGGATTTTGTTTTGGACAACAGTGCTTTAGAGATGGGAAGATTTAATCACTTGCCGTGTATTGGCCATTAATGTTCTGATCAGTGCAACAATTTAGTTCATTGAGGATCATAATTCAAAAAGCATTCTAATAAACAAATGTTTTTAAATAAAAAAAACTCTGGAAAAGGTACTTTTTTGTCATATTTTAATTTCCCCAAAAGATGGGTCATTCTTAGCTTCTTTCCTTTTGCCAAATCAAGTGGGCTCTGCTCTAATAAATCTAGCAGTATATAGACATAAATTACAACTTGGTAACTCCTTCCTGTCTTCACACTTCCAGTCTGCCAAGGATGAATATAGGGAGTCAGTGAAGGACAGATGGGGTAAGATGTGCTGTTGTGGATTTGTCTCTTTTATCATATTTCTATCTTGCCTTTTGATCTTCTGCTATCTTCTTCAAGATCTCATCCACTCTCAGTAAATTTTGGGAGTACTTTTTATATGGTAGCAGCTTTTGGTGCTGTAGCCCAGAGCAACTCATAGGAGAGCTCTTTTAACACAATCTGTGGAAAGAACTGGCTTTGGAAAAATAAAGAATGAGAGACAGACAGCTTTTTTCCCCAATTAGAAAAACAACAGTATAAGTTTCATTACAAAATTTTTAAGCCCAAAAGAATTTTCAGGCCAAATATCACCAGAGTGGCTTGGCTGGTTACCTAGCCCATAAAGATTCAGAACATAGATAAATTGATGCCATTATAAGAAATGAGTTTCTGATTTTCCCGGCCAGTCAAAAGTGACAGCACATGAAACTGCCTGAACACAAGAACACACACAGAGAGGTTAGGGAGTCTTCATCCTTGGAGACACTCAGAACTGAGCTAGACACAGCCATGAGCAATCTGCTGCAGCTGATGCTGCTTTTAGCAGGGGTTTGGAGTAGATAACCTGCAGAGGCCCTTGCCAACCTCAGTGCTTCTCTGATCCTGAAATTCTGTAATTCTATTGGGTTTCTTCATTATCCTCATAGATATTATTTCTATACATAGATGGAATTCAACAGACATAAGTTGCTGGAACAATCAAACCTAAAGCAAAGCAAGGAAGCAACTGACTATTTTCTTTCTCTTATCTTAAACTGACCTGACCAAAAGGCTTGCTGATATTTGCCTGCTGTAATGCTTACTGTGATAGCAGAGCTTGGATAACTTCTGCTCTAGTCAACCTTTTTGCATGATAACTGACTATGTGCAGTTCATAGGAAAGCCCACAGATTTTAACATGACCTATAGAAAGCTGCAGACCTGTGGAAATCAGCTTCTCTTCAAGGAGAGGATTTCTCAATTTATTTGCCTCTTTCAGGTGTAGAAAGAAAAAAATTGTAGCTGTTTCTAAGGGATATTGAACTCCAGCTTATTTGAAGATTTGTGTGGTTTCATTGCCCTGCTCACTACTTAGGATTTTCTTGAAAGAACCTGGTCCTTTTTCTCAAAGTTACTATTTTTTTTTTCTGGTTTCAAGTATTTAAGATCAGCTTTTAAAAAAAGAAGGTTCTCTTGCAGGCATATAAAGTTAATGAAATTTATATTATTCTAATGGATCAAGACAAAGAGCACTGAAAAGTATGTTTTTAGTCATAGAAGACTATAATTTAAGCAGAATTGAGAAGCAAACTTTTCTCCTTTTCTCCACTCAAGGAGTGGTGGTGTTATAGGCATTTATCTAATTGAGCAAAGTATAGATGAAATTAAATGAAATGTCATATTAGTTCTGATCTTACATACAAATGCTCCCTTCTTCTGCCTGGAGTTGCAAAAATACTTTGCTACACTTAAAGAACTTAGTGTTATATCAGAATTTGATTCTCTTTTTATTGGTTCTCACATAATTGTCTATAAAACTTTAATGCTAATGTAGGAAGACATTATGAAACTGCCATTCTGATCTTTAAAATGTTGCAATACAAAAAAGTTTCAAAGAGTCCATGCATAACTTGCATAGTAAAACTAGCTGCCTGGCTGATCAAATGTCACAGTAATGAGATGATTCAACCCAAAATTTGACATTCTAATGATTGAAAAAAATAGCTGAGTTTCTGCAAAACAGAAACATGGTCTTTTTTTGTTAGAAATAACATATTCATTTGAAACTAAAACACATTTAAAACAAGTATGTTTAGAGGATGCAGGGGAGTGCCTACAGCACTAACTTCCAATATGCTCTGTAATGGCTCTCTACCTCAAAGGTGCAGGAATCTTTAGAATTTTCATCTGTGGAGTCAACATATTGAAGCATGTTTCATTTCAAAAGTCTTAATGATTCAATAAAAGATAACTCTACAGCAGGAGGTTAAAGGTATTCTGAACTGCTGTTTTTAAAGAGCTTGGGATGCCCAGCCAATTCTGTAGGCATGTCAGTACTTGAATACAGTTACTATAGCTTTAAATCTCACTGATTCAGTCTTTTTCAAAACGGCCATAAACAGTCCAAGTCTGAATATCAACTAAATTATCAAGTGCCAGCATGATACCAATCAACACAATCAGCATTTTACATATTTGAATGAAGAACTGCTACAAGCTTTTTGATCGTGGGATGAGGAGTGTGAGCTGATAAAATACCACTGATAAAATACCACTTGAGAAAATGCTTTTCCATTGGTTTTCTTTATTACTGTTCCCAATGGCAATCAGCACAACCAATAGACCCCTCAGTGTTTGTTTTCCAAGGTCATGCTTCATCTCTGACAATCATTGTTGAAAAGACTGAAATACTGGGACACATTCATGCATGCTATCATACACCCAATTTGGCACATTGCACTTGGAATCAACCCAAGTCCAACAGTTAAGCCATAGATAGCTATTTCCAAACTGACTAC